GCGAGTGAGGTGGGTGCGGCGGCGTGTGAGGCGGCGGTGTGTGACATGGCACGCTAGGCGGGCGCGCACAGTTCATCGAGCGAGAGTGGATCTGGAAGATGGACGCGCGCCCCTCGAGGTCGGGCAGCCCAAACTCGACCTTGCGTGGGTTCGGGTACCGTGGGGGTGAGGGATGGGTTGGGTACCGTGGGGGGTAGGGGATGGAGACGAGCCCAAACTCGACCTTGCGGGGGAGACATGGGGAGATACGGGGAGATATGGGGAGATATACGGAGATATGGGGAGCCCAAACTCCACCTTGCGGTCGATGCGGCCCGGCCGCAGCAGCGCCGGGTCGAGCGTGTCGGGGCGGTTGGTCGCCATCAGAATCTTGACGTTGCCGCGCGCCTAGCGAGTTGCAGACGGCGCCTCGCCGTTTCACTGGAGAGGACCCGTCTGCCTTTCTCTCTGCGCATGCCGGAGCCGCCAGGCGAGGGGCTTGTGCTGCGAAGAGAAGGCGTGTGCTGCGAAGAGAAGGCTTGTGCTGCGAAGAGAAGGCTTGTGCTGCGAAGAGAAGGCGTGTGCTGCGAAGAGAAGGCGTGTGCTGCGAAGAGAAGGCGTATGCTGCGAAGAGAAGGCGTGTGCTGCGAAGAGAAGGCTTGTGAGAAGGCGTGTGCTGCGAAGAGAAGGCGTGTGCTGCGAAGAGAAGGCTTGTGCTGCGAAGAGAAGGCTTGTGCTGCGAAGAGAAGGCTTGTGCTGCGAAGAGAAGGGGTGGTCGCTACTCGAGGCGCTCAGCGAGTGGGGGGGGGGGCGGGTTCGCATGTGCATGGGTGCATGGCCAGGACACGTCCATGACATGTCCGGGACATGTCCGATCAGGCGGCGGCCTCGAGCACCGCATGGTCGCTACTCGCCCGGTCCCTCGGCCGTCTTGCCACGCGTGCGTGCGTGCTAGCGTCGCGGCGTGCAGTGTGCCGCAGTCCCCCGTCGCTACTCGCCAAGCCGCGCGCCTCGAAGCCGTCCAGCTGGTTGACGATCTCGAGCATCGTGCGCTGCACCTGTGAGAAAAAGAAACACCGGCACGTAAAAAGAAACACCGGCTGGTTGACGATCTCGAGCATCGTGCGCGCTGCACCTCGTTGTCGCCCCCCGCGCCTGCTCACAGCAGCGGCTGTGAAGGGACGCTGTTCACAGCGCTGCACCTCGTTGTCGCCCCCCGCGCCGTCGTCGAACCGCGTGCCGCCAATCGCGTCGACCTCGTCGAGAAAGACGATGCACGCCTACTCGTAGGAGCAGCTGTGAAGAGACGCTGTTCACAGCTGATGCACGCCTACTCGTAGGAGCAGCGCAGGGAGGGTAACCTAGTCCCTGCGAGCTAGAGGCGGTGGCGAGGTACTACAATCTCCCCATATCTCCCCATGTCTCCCCATGTCTCCCCATGTCCATGTCTCCCCTTGCTCAGAGTCGAGGTAGTCGTACTACTCTCCTAGTACTGCTAAAACAGTCGAGGCACTAGGCCAAGAGTCGAGGTGCTACTAGGCCAAGAGTCGAGGTGCTACTAGGCCAAGAGTCGAGGTGCTACTAGGCCAAGAGTCGAGGTGCTACTAGGCCAAGAGTCGAGGTGCTACTAGGCCAGGAGTCGAGGTGCTACTAGGCCAGGAGTCGAGGTGCTACTAGGCCAAGAGTCGAGGTGCTACTAGGCCAAGAGTCGAGGTGCTACTAGGCCAAGAGTCGAGGTGCTACTAGGCCAAGAGTCGAGGTGCTACTAGGCCAAGAGTCGAGGTGCTACTAGGCCAAGAGTCGAGGTGCTACTAGGCCAAGAGTCGAGGTGCTACTAGGCCAAGAGTCGAGGTGCTACTAGGCCAAGAGTCGAGGTGCTACTAGGCCAAGAGTCGAGGTGCTACTAGGCCAAGAGTCGAGGTGCTACTAGGCCAAGAGTCGAGGTGCTA